TTCGAGCCGGTAGATCTTGGGAAAACCGTATTCCTCCTAAAATGCCTCTGTGATTAGAATTATCCAGAAAATGTTCAAGTCATAACGACGAAATGGGGTAAGGGATTCATTTGGTGTCTGCGTCATCGAAAATCGCATGATGAAGATAAAAATCATAAGAGGTTCTTCAAGAAAAGAAAATGAGCACACAGATATGGTAAAAGGACGATTTTCTTGAAATACCTTTAGTTGTGAAATTTTCCTCTGGATTTTTCGGCCACGTCAAACAATCATAAGTATAAAGCAGTTTAATTTTCCCCCGATTCCATAGCACACTCACAGTACTAGAAAATAATGGTACCCAGCATAAATAATCTCCTAGCTTTTTTCTCGATATCTCTTTGCGTTTGCATAGTGTCAAACTATAGAAGCACATTAAACGAACACTTTTTGTTGAGCTTTAAAAGCTGTCCTCTTTGAATATGCATCGAGGCTTTTCGATTAAAAGCCTATAGAGTTAAATAAATGCTAGTTTTTATGAATTTCCTAAAATATTCCTGTTTTTCACCGTACATTTTGCAGTTTTTGAAAAAATATGGGAACTTGTCCAAGTTTATTTTCTTGGAGCAAGGTTTCGGTTTGTGCGAATACCACTAAATGATGTTATGCAAGGTTATATGCATTTTGAAACAGTGCTAATTCAAATAATTTATGTGGGAATAGTAAAATAAAGTATGGAAGTCTAGGACGAGTTGTTTGAAAAGTATGTTGTCTATGTAGAATCTTTTACATGGTGCATCAGTACCAGCAACAAAAACAAGCCAGTATTAATGAAAACACTTTGCAAGTTATTATTGATAGATTCTCGTAGTATTATTATAATTTTTTCCTTTTATATCTGCGTTGACCTTTTCTGTAGGACTTCATAGAGAATTCAATGCTGAATATTTTTGGAAAACATCTGTTCCGATACAATAAAAATTGACAGAGATATGTGTATACACCAAATCTGAGTCACAACGGGTTCCAGCGTAAGGCAATATATAAAATGGCAGAATGAAGACAGGTTTTCCTTAAAATTCGAACAGTACATCTTCTGTTATCCGAGCAGATATCCTAACTTAATGAGACTAGAAAGAACATTTTAGTCTGCGTTTAGCGTTAGAGTATACCATTGTTGACGCCAACAATACGGAGGAAATAATGATGGCTGATTTACTCTGGCTTACCTGTTAATTTAAGAATATATGCGAAAAAAACAAACAGACCAAGGAATTTTCAAAGCAAATTTTATCCTTAAACTGGCTTAACTTCTAGGATTGCTGTAGGCGTTGTTTGGTCATAACGAGGAATTACTAGCACTCAGTAACTTTATTACTGTATCACTTGAAAGCAGTCTACTCCCTCTAGGAAACAATATGAGAACTGTTACACGCAATTCCCTAGGGAAAATCCTTTGTGTTTTCGTGTCAGATCCTTAACGAGTCCAGTTAGGATCATTCACGGATTCGCTATTTTTTTCTCAGGAAACTGCTAAATCCTGAAGAAAGCGTGTAGCCACGGAATTTCAAAATTCTGACAGGATTTGAAATAGGATTCAATCAGGATCTTGACCAGTTTTACATTATTTTTGGATCAAGGTCTTGCCAGGGTTTCAATAATTCTGAATCGAAAAAAAAATTTCTGTCTACATACTGCCGCATTTATCTACGTTCCCTCAAGGATGTTACCACTTTTTCCAACAGGATTTTTACAAGGTTCTACTGGGTTTACTTGAGAATGCTTTTCCATCTCTTGGCAGGATGCATACAAGCTTTGCTAAGCAGAATAAAAACAAGTGAACATATAGAGTATCGATCTCCAGACCTTTAGCATACGTACTGGTCAGCTTACCCGGCTGAATTGTGTAACGTTATCGTATTTAACTTCAAGCTTAGGTATCTTAAATTCTGACTTAAACCTAAATTTCTGCTCCGTTTTTGTACGAACAGAAATTATCTCAAAAGCTTGTGAAAATGCAATATTCTTCGTAATATTTTTGCGATTTAACTAATCTCAGTGTTTACTTTTAGTTTCCAGTTATTTTCAAAAATATATTTATAATTTTACTCATGCATAAATTATCCTATAATCAGTTTTTACCGGAAAATATGCCACACATCAAACACATCTGTTGAATGAAAAACTATCCAAATGGCCGAGTTATAATAAACACAGTATTTTAATAATTTTTTAAAAACTTTCTCGAGAAAAAAAAATAACAAAAAAAAAGTACTTTCATCAAGCGAAGATCATAAAGACATCAATAAAAAATTAGAAAAACGCTACTACGAAAAAGATTTAAATAGTTTTGCTAGAGTCGCTTTTTTCTGTGTGACAAATTCCGAAGCCCTGATAGGGATCAAAATTTTAGTACTTCACCAAAAGCACTTGGTGATTCGATTTCAGATCCTTACCGCATGCGCTCAGGGTCCTTCAAGGATTCTCTATTTGTTTTCTGAGGAAACAGCTAAATCCTGAAAAATTGTGTAGCCACGAATTTCAAGATCTTGAAAGGATTAAAAATAGGAGTTGATCATGATCCTGCATAAATTATCATTGGTGTTAAATCAGGAATCGTTCTGAAAATCGCTAAATCTTCAAAGAAGTGTGTAGCCACGGTGTTTCAACACTTTGACACGGTTCAAAACAGGACTCACTCAGAATCTTTAGTAGTAGACTACCTTTTTTGAACCAACAATGATTCTGGAAACAGCATGTGGTTCTGGGTGTGAATGCATGTTCATCAGATGTAGACTAACAGTCTCAGTCAGTGATTCATCCTCGTATTGGATTCTCGTTGTGACCTTTTTCAGATTCAGCTGTAATATTCATGTAAAAAAAGGGAAAAAAACACTCTTAATTACTTTTTATATTAATAAAGTAAAAGAAAGTAACTTTTCCTACTATTTTTCACTTTTTTAAAGTACTTTCTCATGTTTTTCCACTTTAAAAAGTACTTTATAGTACTTTGCTATCATACAAAATATAAAAAGTACTTTTTTTGGTACTTTTAGACATACTTAATAGTACTTTTCCATTACAGAAAGTATAAAAAGTACTTTTCGGTACTGTTAGAAGTACTTAAAAGTACTTTTTTTACTAATAAGCATAATCATTGGTGAAAAGTACTTGTTTAATAACTATCTGTAAATTTAACCGATTTATTTTTTTCAGATTAATCTCTTATACCGATTTAAAAATGTCCGTGACGCCAGAAATTACACCAGTATCGAAAAAAACCTGTTTTTTAACAATTGGTTTCATTTCTTTAATTTTTACTTCATTTCAAATCGGATATCTCATGAATGTATCGCGTATTGCCACAACTCAATTTTTTCAAAAGATGACTCCAGTTACGTTAGTTGAGCAACTACTAAATGTTTCTCAAGTAAATACCACTCCTGCCGTTAATCGTCTACCAAGTCCTACACCATTTGAAAATTTTATCTGTGATAATACAAGTGTTAATCGATTTTTAGTTTCATCGACAACATCATCAAATGATTCATTTGATGTATATCGAAAACATTCTTTAGAAAAATATTGTAAAATGGTACCTATTCCACGACGTAATTATCAAAAGCCGAAGACATATACTGAAGATGAAGTTGCGTTTGTTATTTTTACATCCTCTAATTTTTTTCATACACGAGCAACAGCAACACGTGATACATGGCTTTCACGTATAACAAATTATTATTTTCTCAGTGCAACTCCTTATCCTTATTTACCTGTAACTGTTGTTCCTGGTGCTGGTGAAGATAAATTATCAAATATGAAAAAACTTTTTTATGGTCTTCAAATGATATATCAACAACAAATGAATCTTTCTATGCATCAACGACAAAAATGGTTCTATATAGCTGGCTGTGATACATTTATTCTTCCTCATCATTTACTTAAACGTCTTGATGGCTTCAATTATACACAACCTCTTCTGATAGGCGGCCATTCAGGTCATCATACATGCCTAGGACCAAATGATAAAGGAGTTGCAGTTGAATTTCCATCAGGTGGTGCTGGATTCTTTTTTAGTATGAAATTGCTTGAACTAATGCAACCACATCTAACAAATTATGTTGAAAATGTTTGGCCACGTACATCTGAAATATCTGATGTTGCGCTTACTTGTCTTGCTCGCCAATTAGGTGTTAGGTTAACAAGACTAGCTGGTTTTTGGGCACATGCACCAACATATACATTAGCTGAAAATGGGCGTGAAAGATTTCATAGAGATCCTGAACCAAATGATTTTCATTATGTTCAACCTGATGAAATGCATGCACTTGATGAATTTTATGTTAATCAACATATGGACAGATTAATCAATGATGAAAATTGGAGCGAATTAATTCGATTTACTCGACGTTTTACAGCCAGTCATTATGAATTATTAAGAAAAAAAAGACGAGAGTGTACCTTGCCAACTATAGGAAAAGAAGTTAACTTAACTACTGGTTAAAATTTTATACACATATATATATATGTGACAAAAACAGTTGTTGGCATTTTTTTAAATATATCATCGTTATAAAAAAAGCTAATGATAGATTCTGAAAGCAGTCGCAATTTTCTATTATTTTATATATTTATTTATTCCTTCGACTGAATGGAGGGTCATATGAAATGAAATAAGTTTGTGGTCGTCGATACAAAATGAGATGCATCTGTTTAGTCACGTGTCTGCACCTACTACTGTAGTGTAATTAACAAAGTTTGACCAAAGGTAATCGGGATCGGGGAATTCGAATCCGTGATTAGTTTTTCGAAATTTTTATTGTCGGTATGGTGTTTTTGACGGAAAGAACCCAATCTAAGCGCATCAGACTCAAGAACAAATGCAAATGTCGGTATCTTAGAATGTTCTGGTGCCAATATGTGTTTGGGTTTCACGTAAAGGAAAGCAGCAGTTTTCAAAGTATGGAACTAATTTCCTACTCTATATTTCATAGAATGATAATAAAGCGTAGAACAAGGAAGAAATAGTAGAGTTCTTTTAAAAAGCGTTGCTTTAACCGTACTGCTCGTAAACCTTGTGACAACCGATTCGAAGTTAGTGAGCCGTATCCATCTAGTGTCTCTCGGTCTGTTCACTGTTTTGCTTTATTATGGTCATAGTGATACCATGGTTAGTGGAAGAAATATTAAACCGACAGATGATTGCCGTCGTCATCGATCAAAAGACGTCAATAAAAGCATATAGTGAAAGACAGGGTGCTGGATATTATCATCATTTTGAGGCGGTACAATCAAAGTGGTACTTTGTCAAATAAAAGAAAGGTAATATCATCAGATCATCATCATTAGCATAGATCAAAAAACTTCAAGAGATAGATACCGGATAAACAGTAGGAGAACATCTGATATCGATTAGGCCACGGCCAGGTATCAATACTGATGCATTTTCCGTAGTAGATGATTCGATCGACTTTCTTGTGGCTGTTGCTGTTGACAAGGTTACTCCTGTGTTATGATCATCTACAATATTTATCGTGGTGCCTCATCATCTATAGGTTATGGCAAGTTCATGAAACTGCATCTTCTAATTACTTACGCTTACTATCTCGTCGTGAAACGTATTGAAAAACTCAAACTATACTTACAGGCCTGAAGCGACTCAGGAACAATCATTAGTACGCAATTATTACCAATTCATTATGTAAATCGATCCGTTGTGGAAACCGACCCGTTTTGGGATTTTGAAAAGTGAAACCTAATATAGTCAGTGGCGGCGGATCCATTAGGCTTGTGGAGGCTCAAGCTTCCCCTAAAAATAGGTAGGGGAGGCTTGGGGAGGCTCATATTTTGAAAAAAATCACAGATCTTAGCATGGATTTATATTTAGTATGAGAAAATTCTTTGAATAGTATGTTCAACCTCATATTAGATAGCACGATAAGCGGCACACCAATTGCATTTAAGAAAGCTCAAGTCTTAGTAAAAAACCAAGAAGGACATCTGAGACAGACTCGATATTTACGAAAACTTCAGGAACGTCATTCCGAATTTGAGGGTGAATGTCATAAAATATTACCAACATAGCTTATATTGCATGTATCTTCGCATGAACAAATGCTAAAATCTTGACTTTTTTCAAAGGATACGTGGTCGACAGTGTCTAAAATAACTATTAAAAAGTCTCGTTAGCTTAATGTACGAAATAATATCTTTTTTTTTGCATCTGTTTTCCTCAAAAAAATGATAAAAATATGGATTTCTTATATAGATATGTGATTAAACTCTTCACAATATTCATAGAAAAAGGTTTTCCTGCTTGATGATAATAAATTTGGAGAAGGGAAAAAGAAAAACTATATGACACATTCTAATTTTTCACGATAACAGTAAACTGAACGCTACTAAAAAGGCCGAATTTTTATCAAAACCAAGCTTAATATATTAAAACACTACTAAATGCAATGGTAATACCAGAATGATACGTTTCGTGTTTGAAGATCGCCTTAAAGACTTAAAAGTAAACAGTCAGACAATTACTCGTTTAAATACTAGAAGAAATTTAATTTAGAAGAGTGAAAAATATAGTATCTTGCACGTCTTTGCTTTCAGTTCTCTCAAAATCAATTAAGACAACTCAATAGAATATTTTGCTTCTTTAAAAATAGATTCAAGTTTTCAAGATTTTTGTGTGAAAAAATATGTATGACAAATATTTTTATTAATTTCAACATGACACGACGTAGCGATGTTTTATATATACTATCTTTCACTGTTCTAAGAACTCACCAGGACAGGTGGACAAGACGTTGTGATGCATTGTTGTAGAGAATTCAACAACAGCGTCTATATTTCCTTTTTTTGAAACTTTTCTGAAAGTTCCTGTACTTAGGTACTTCTTTCATCGTCAACTGAACGAAATTGAGGCGAACACGAGCATATGACATCGAAGATAAAAGTAGACAAGACTTCAGATGACGAACATGTGAAAGATGAACGCTTATTCTTGCAAATCATGGATTTTTTTTAGTAAAGTTATATTATGTTCTATGCTATGAAATAGAGAAATTTTTTAATTAAAATGAATCCTGGAAATTCAAAAAAAAAACCACGAAGGATTCTCAACTTCCATAGGACATCTTTCGACAGCGCTCCTAGATTATATCAGTCGCCTATAGAAGGGTATATATGTCAAATAGATGCTGTTCAAAAACACATTGAGACATCCGATATCCCTTGATAAAAGTTAAAGTGGAAAAGCTAGAAAATATCCCTCCTCTAACATCACCTTCCTATCATTCCTGAGAAGTTTTGAGCCTCCCCTAGATTAGAATCGCTCCGCCGCCTCTGTTCGGTAAATATATTATCGTTTGGGAAAGAAAAAATAGGAGAGTCCAATCTGTTTCTTTTCTCCAATGTGGACGAAGATAAAAAAAAAAAGAAAAGGAAATTCTCAAGAAATGGTTAATCAAATGTCTACCGAGTCCAAATGTTTTTCCACAAAAGAAAAATACATGAACATCTTTTCTCTATTTTCTCCGAGTAAACATGATTTTGATCGCTGATAACGCAGTATTGATGGGTCATACTGATAAGAAGAACGCTTTGAATTATTACCGATGACTTCGATATACAACTATGACTTTTTACGAATTATAGAACTACATTTCATATCTCTTAAGAAATCTTTATTGTTTGTAGCCTGAAATTTCAGGATACAATCGATAAGAATATTTATAATTATAATATGACTTATACGAGCAAAACAGTTGAGAGAAAAGTAATAAATTTTTTGATATTTCTCTTTTTTGATAAAAGGCGAAAAGAAATCAAATCCTGATATATCTTCTGAAATGCATTTAATTTAATATTGCTTACAAAAACTATATATTCTAATAATCATCATAGTTCTCTTTCGAATAATCATAAATTCAGTAATTTATCGAAGCTTTAGTCTATCGAAAGTCTCAAGCGTGTATTTTTAATTGATTCATAAGCCGATAAAAGCTGCTTTCAAAATGACTAAACGCTACGAAAGTGCTGTGTCAAAAAGCTAATAAACTCAACACATATTCTTCTATTGTATCAATAAGACACAACCATAGTCATTTACTAATTTCAGCACCGGCCTTTTCATCACTATCTTGCAGAAGATTTTCAAATTTCATTATAATATCAAATAATCTCTTATTATTAGAAATCTCTTTTCTAATTTGGCCGTCAGTAAAAAAAACTTCTTTAAATAAATGGTCGTATTCATCATTTCAAAATTATCGAAATATTCCACTGCATTCAGTTAAAACTTTCTATGCATTTAAAAATCGGCGTAGCTTTCCAGTCAAATCATCAATTTTAGCTTGTAAGTATACAAATTGACTAAGTGTAGTGTTGTCGACTTACATCTGGATAGAACTAATAACTTATAATGATATTTTACTATTTTCACTAGACAAAAATTTAATAACTTTTTTATATTGAAAGTTTGTTTTATTATAATGCAAAGCCTTCGAACCTAAATAAGGCTTGAGTTGCTAATGTTGTATCATTTGTTTTATTTTCAATAGTTTCTCAAACGAAATTGACTAAAAAGTCATGTAAATATTTATCAACAGTTTCACTAAAAGAGATAGACTTATGTCGAAATGATGCAAAACTCTTCCTATAATCATCGAAAAGATCCATCATAGTTTGCTTAATATATGTTATTATATGATGAACAGCTTTTTCATGTGTTTTTGTTAATACAATCATCAGATGAACCAGGTATGGTATCTAGCTTCTGCTTACCATCTTTTCAATTGAATTCTATTGTAAATAATTCATGAAGGGTGCAGGTTTTAGTGTTGGCGTCAGCGTTGGTGTATGGTGCTGTCAACTGCGAGAACACCAAAACTTACCTTCATACCTGCACCCACCCACACACCATAATGATACAGCTACAACTGAAATTGGTAAAGAAAATTTTCTTAATATGCAAGTGTGCTTTTTTGTGGATTGGATAAATTTTGATGATGAATGTGTATCATCGTTGCCATATGATAACGATGTTGTTCAATCTGATGATGATAATTGTTTTAATCATCATCGCCATTTATCAAGTAATATTCTTACTAATGAAAAAAGAGCATCATCAATATTAATGGATAAATGTGAAGATACAGTAACCATGGAATCATCTTGCATGGAAGATGTACAAGATATTTTATAATAAAAAAATTATAGTGTTCCATGAAACCGTTTGACTATATTATAACAAATGGTTATTATAGCACTGTGATTGTTTTTTTTTGTTATGCTTGAATAACGCATTGTGTTTTTCTTTTTTTTCTTGAGGATTAGGTCCTTTATTCTCTTATATACACACTCACATCCTTCAAACAAAAGTCAGATTCAGTTCGGAACCGCAAACATCATAATAAAAGTTGATTTTAATTATAACATCCATTTCATTTACCAAACTGTGCATTATTAATGCAGTTCATTTGCATACTCGACTAAACCCACTTCTTTATTTGTATTACATTTAAAATCCCAAACAAATATGTCTCATGATTTGATTCTTTCTCTCATGCATTATCGTACTATTAGATAGTTAGTGATCGAATCCATGTGAAATCAAGTTTAATTTTTTTGCACAATATTATTGACGTATCTGTCATAAAAAATAAATACTGTACAATATTAATCAACATGCACATTCTGTTCGGAAAATTGACGTACAGTTAATATAGTAGCTGATAAAGATTCAAGGGTAATTTATTATGAGATTTTTGTGTTATTTCAAGTAACATGTCACTACTTTATGACAATTTAAAAAAGAAAGTAAATATGAACCATATTCGTCTGTGTATTCTATTAGTTCCAAAATGTACTCTTTAATAAATATCAAAGCTAATAATGAACCAAGTTCTCTCTAGAGGCAAATACATGATTAGCAGATGCTCTAACAATATCTTTTCTTCTGATAGTCTCACGCTCTTTTTCATATTTCATCATGGACTATGAACGAGCAATGTACAAGTTCATCCTATATTGGATTGCCATTTTGTCTAGTTTTCGCGCCGCTGATTGGATTCCACCACCTATTAATCTAGCAAATTACGATGCATATGGTTCTTTGATTACAATGAACGAGCAATTGATCATTCTTGCACAAAATGATATAAGACACTTTCAAATTGTCGTTGATCCGTTTACGAATCATTCATGTCGATCTGCTCCGCGTTATATTGCTGTGCAACATGGCATAAATTCTTTTGCCGATTATATCTATTCAGTTGCGATTGGTTCGAAACAAGAAAAAAATGAAACAAATTTTTATTTTGCATTCATCGATGAAGATCAATTCAGAAATATATTTTTAACAATTGTTTATTTCTACATAGCTCTATCACCATCCATTTGTGTTTATTACGCAAATCATTTCGATTTTAATGTCACGGACCTTGCTTTCTCAGAACAAGTAATCATTGCCATGGATCCAAATGGAACTCGCGTCTATGCCGTTGGATTCCATTACACTGTTATCATTGATATCAAAACAAAAGTTCGTCGAATCTATCACAAGAATGATGTCTTCGGTCTTGGTCTAATTGGACCACCACCGCTAGGTTTGGATGAAATACATGTATTCTCCAAAGCAATGTTTGTTAGTGAAGATCATCGATTGTATCTTGTCGGTCAACGATATTACAATTTTCAATATTTAGCCTATTTACATGTACTCGACTACTCTGATCTTGATCATAATCGTGTTCGACTTCTCTCAGTCAATGAATTGTCAGCTTTCAATTTTGGCACTGCAGCACAACGTATTACACGTTTTTCCGCCATGTCTATACATGCATATTTTGACGAAGAAGAAAAAATTATTATTATTGGCATATCTCATGTAGATACAATTTTGCTCTTATTATTCAATCGAACACATTCACCGGTTATAATCAAGCGGCACGAATCGGTAAATAAAGGTGTTGGATTCGGAAAATCGGTTGCTTTCTTTCATGATCATACCTACGCTGTTCTTGCCCATGGTCAGTCAACTCTACCATGGTCTACATCACAAGTACAAGTAAGTCATTCTGAGATCTCCACTATGTTCGAATATTTTCACACACGATCAGATAATGTCGAGTTATGATGTGTGATAACTTCGGCTCATATAAAAAGTATTAATTAATTCATTCTTTTACAATGCACTAGATCTGAGTATTCTTTGTCTATCAAAGAAAAATAATAGATTGTTAGATCTCTTTTACTGATCTGAATTTTCCATTTGAATAAACAAAATGAGATCACAACATATCTTTGAATAGTGTGATTAGTGACGTTTATCCAAAATAACCTCGATAATATGTTAATAACTGCTGTAGTTTCCAGAATTGAATTTTCTTTATGCGTTGACATTTTACTTAATATTTTCTGGAAGAAAAATTTCTTCTGTTAAGCTTTCAAAAATGATGGAAAGCATTTCATCTCAAAATGTTGCCATTTTCTCGATTTTATGTGTTATCAAGATTTCGCAAAACTATCCATATGGCTTCCTTTTTTAATAAATTAATCATGAGTCTGATTTTGAGTACAACAGTACTACAATTTTTTGCTTTTTTCTGATCTCGTAGGAGTTTAATTTATTGAAAGCTGATACATGTCATATGTGGAGATGTAGGTCGACGAACTCATTGACGACGGCTGCTTTCAGAAAAATGCTTTTTACGACTGAATTTTAAACTTTGTTAAAAAAACTGAACACAGAGTATCTGTGATAGGTTCGAAAATGCTCCAAAGAAACAGAAACGTATGATACTAGTCCAAAAAACTCCCAGCTCCTTACAAAAGTCATCCGAATAAAGGAAGGAAACTAATGTCAGTGAAAATTAGCAAGGTATATGTGCTTAGCAACTGGATTCTTTCTCAAGAAATGTCGACAGCAGCACCAGCTCATCTGATCAGCAGAAATCTTTAGACGCATGTTTCTATCTTAATTGAATTTTTGAAATATAGATTGAGATTCATTCATTATGCCAACATCAAGCTACAGATGAAAGAAAAATCTCCCATCAGTTAATCCTTTCACGTCCTGATTCCTATGTAAAACCAATTCTTTCTTAATGTTAGATCTATTCTGTTTACGATGAAAGTAATCAACCACTTTTCGTCTTTCCAAACAATCAGCAGACGATTCCAACCATGAATCTAATTCACCCACCATACGGCATATTGACTCTTGTTTCTTACGACATGAATGTTGGACTTGTCGTCGAAGCTGGTGGTTTTTTGTTGTTACCGGCGAGTCCTCCTGGTTATTGTTCATCTCAAATCGGTGATCATCTTCTCTATGCAGGCAATTATATTTCACTACCGTGTCCAATCGGTACAGCACGCAATACAACTAGTTTTGGCCCGTGTTTTATTTGTCCTCCTAAAACAAAAAATAACGGAAGTTCAGGAATGAATTGTGAAGTATGTTCAAGCAATGAGTCTCTACTTTGTTTACGTGGAACGAAGATGGAAGTCGAATGGAACAAATTGTCGAGTTTTAATCAAGCCAATCCCTATCCGGATTCACCTGAAACAAAAGAATTCGATGATGTTCTCCTACAAAATGTATTCAAATTTGGTACTTTATCTAGTCACTGTTTAATTATTTCACCATTATTTTGGGCAACATTGGCGATCGGTTTCAGCTTCATTGTCGTCATTATCATGGGCATTTTGGCATTTTATCCTAAACAAAAACCTCACCGTACGTTCGTACAAAAGATCTTCACGCGTATTGATCTCATTGGACACGGTGAACTCTGGCTTGGTGGACTTGTTTCAGTAGTACTCATGATTTTGATTGGATTCACGTGCAAATTTAGTATATCTTTTTCGAATCTCTATCCGATTGAGATAATCTCAGCAAGTACACATTCGTCTGTGATATGCGATCCGAATTTAATCAATGCAAAATTTATTAGTGCGCTTCAACTTCTGTCCATCCATAAACATGATGAGGAAGAGCCAATTTTTCGATTACTCGATGAACAACAAATTGTTCTTACAACGCAATTTGTCAGTACAGAATTTCAATGTGAACATGTTACTATGCAACGAAATATGGATAAAGGACAACAGACTCTATCTTCTGATTTCAACTGCACAACGGATAATGAAAGTAATATTGTCTCAGTATCAACACTTCTTCCTCAACATCTGATTGTGGTTCAATTCAGTCTTACAGGATCATCATTTATCGGTGGTCTTCGCATCTGTTTCAATGGTCCATCAACTAGTCAAAGCAACGGAAAATATACTATTCAGATGTTCAATTTTTGTCGATTCTTTTTCACTATCAATGAAACTCTTACGGCAAATTCGATTGTCAATGTTAAAATGACAAAAGTTATCAACCGGACAGCACCTTTGTCAAAAAACGATGAATCAATATTCACGGGACGTTGGCTTCCTACTCTTACCGTGAATACTCTAGCGGATGCTCTTCTATTCGAACAAAGAGGAAAATATCGACGCTATTTATCAAATCAAATCGTACTTGTTGTCGATCTAACTGAATCGGAATTTTACTTAGAAAATAGTCAAGAACCTATCGCAAGACCCAATGAAATCGTATTTCAAACTGTTCTATTTTCGAGTGAGTTCATCTATTCTTAGAAAAATAAAATAGATAAATCATATAATTTGTTCTTTTTTTATATTCAGTGTTATGTCTCGAATTATTTGGTCTTCTCTTTTTAATCTTCAAATTGCTCATCAGTCCATTCATACCAATGGTATTAGAGCGTTATTTTAAGCGTACGAATAACGATCAACGTCGCATGCTCACTAAATTTATTCTGCAACGTATGAATGAAGCAATCGATGAATATGAAATGAAAAATAAGCTGACAAGAGATTCGATATAATGGAAAATATAATCATTTGATGTGAGTAAAAACGATGGAGCGAATCAAACCACGCAAAGAAGAATATCTGTCTCTCAGTCAAATAGAATTGAAAGTAAGTTTGTTGTTTTTTGAAAAGGTGTGGGTGTGGATGGGTGTGGATGGGTGTGGGTGTAGGTGGATGGGTGTGGGTGGGTGTAGAAATTCACTCCAGGGATACCCATACCCATCCATGGCCAATCCATAACAATAGATATTGTCGATGAGGATTTCTCCTTGAGTTGTGCTACTATGACGAGACCATCGTACGACTCGTTGATTCTCTTGATCACAAATAATGAGACTATTCGTCTGTTTGTCGATCAACACGCCGGTTGAACGATCCAATTGATCCGATCGATTTCCTTTGACATTGTCGCCAGCTACTGCTTGTCCATCCCTCTCACCCATCTCCCATTGGATGATACGACGATGCCATGTGTTAGCGATGACCATTGTTTGATCATCATCAACGAAGAGACCTTGAGGGCCGAAGAGTTGATTGTTGGCATTGCCTAGTTCATGCCCCCCAGCAACAGTCACCCCATTCTGTACCCATCTGGCATTGGCTGGAATATTGGGAATCACTACAATGAACGAGAAAAAGAAAAGAAATCGCCGTTGTTGAAGAGATCATCCTCTCTCTCTCTCTCTCTCTCTCTCTCTATCGTGTGGGAAAGTATTACGAATGGGATAGGGGTCAATCAAGTGCTGCGTAATCAAGTTTAGGCGGAGGGGGTGTCTTTCAAGAATGACATTTGATTATTATAGGGGAGTGTTAGGTTCTCCTTTTATTATCCATTTTATTTCATAATATATAATAAGGCAGTGAGAACTTATATAGAACATAACATAGAGCAGAATGATTGAGAGAGAGAAAAAGTAAAAAAAACAAAAACCAAAACAAACGAGAAAACAAATAACTAGAGAAGAAGGACTGTTGACCTCTGACATATGATAATAAAGATGTCAGCCCTAACATCCACACTTCCCGGATCAAGAAAAAGTTTTTGTTTACAAATACTTTTTTGTTTTACAGTTAAAGAAGAAAAAAGAAAAGAAAAAAAAATAAACGAAAGAACTTCATAGAAAAAAAGAAAAATCATTTGATATAAATGCACCCGGTAGAAAGGAAGAAAAATCTTCATATATCACTGAGAAAAAGAAATGTAACAGAAAAGGAAAAACAAGAAAATATCATAACGAAAAATATCTAATAATACACACAAAAAAAAAAAAAAATAACAAAAAACATTTTTACTATTTTTTGTTGCTGTTGTTATTGTTCACGATGATGTTGATGATGACGACGTTGTTGATAATAATTATGACGTGTAAATAATTCTTCCGATAATTGCTGCTGATATTGTTGTTTCAGCATTTCATTTTTAAAACCAATAATTAGTAAGACATCGACGACTTCGACATGTATATGTTTAATTTCATTTTTACGAAGAATTTCTTTTATTAATTTCATTGTAAATCGATAATAAATATTATATTTGATATAATATCGATAACGTCTCATTCTAAAGGTATGATTCTTTTTCGATTTCTTCGTCTTCTTGCTTCTTCTGTTCGTTGTTGATGAGTAGATTTATGTTTTGGTGTTGATGGGTGTCATTCACGATCTTCAGCTGGTTTAACTTGTTCGTCATTATTAATAATTAATTCATTGACTTCATTAATAATGAATTCAATATCATTTGTTGGTGGGTGGGTATCGGGTGTCGGTGTGGGTGTTGGTGTGGGTGTGGGTGTGGGGTGTGGATGTGGGTGGGTGTGGGGTGGGTATGGGGTGGGTGTGGGGTGGGTATGGGGTGGGTGTGGATGTGGGTGTGGGTGTGAGTATGTTTCTTCAGTTCATTCACATCGACACCCACACTCTACCTCACAAACAGACCCACATTCACACCGACACCCAGACCCAGACTCACACCAACACTCACATCAAAATCCAAACCCAGTCTCACACCAACACCCACACTCAAACCCAGACTCGCACCAACAGCCACACCCACACTCTTTTTGTGTAGAAAGATCAGTTACGGAATCGCTATTGTTTTCAATATGAAAGATCGCGATTTCGACAAATAAAGATGATACTTTGCACACATCAGGTACGAATGCTGACCTACATTTTGGTAACAGCTGTAACTTAATACGTTGAAATCTTGTTGAGATACTAGAAAAACAAGATCCCTTCTCTACCCATGTAAAAAAATGTAGCCAAAAAGTAACTTTTGAGTACTTTCAAAAGTTTTTTTAAGCAGGAAAAAGTGCTTATAAGTGAACCTTTTTAAGTACTTTTCCTACTTTTCGACTAAAAAGTACTATTAAGTACTTTGTAAAGTGAAAAAAGTGTGAGAAAGTATGAGAAAGTACTATAAAAAGTGAAAAATAGTAAGGAAAGTTACTTTGCTTTACTTTATTCACATTAAAATTACTTAAAAGTGATTTTGGTTCACTTTCTTTTACATGGGTAATTCACTGTTAAGGAAATATTCTTCCTTATGAACTATAGATGTTCATTTTCCTTTCTCTTTCTGTTACATGTATCTGTTCTTTAGTTCTTCTTGCTCAATTGAAATTGTTCGTTCGTGTCTATCTTCTTACGGTCCATAAACATCGATATTGACCTTGTCTCTTTTTATTCTTTTGCGCATTAATCTTTCTATCGCATAGCTTATAATACGTGATAGTGTTATCGTCATATATATACATATGCACTTCTTCCATTTTATTCAGAATGGTTATTGCTGGCATTCTCCTCTTCTTAATTCTTTCATGCTTTCATTCTCTTCTTGATTCTTTCCTTCTTTCGTGTTTTCTTCTTCATTATTGAAATAAAATTGAACTCACGTTCAACAAAAAACACAAAACTTACATTCACGATTAATTTTTAGCGCTACTGCATGTGTTATACATAGACCAATAAAGGATTTCAGGTTTTACAACTTCTCAGTAGATCATATTTGCTTGGTTTGCTTCTTTGAGAAAACAGAATATGTGGGTGTGGGTGTGTGGGTGGGTCTGCGTGTGGGTATGGATGTGGCTATTGTTTCTTTCTTCAACTACGCATCCACACGCACATCCACCTTCCACACCGTCACCCACATCCACACCCACACCACAATATCTGTGTTCTCTATTTCTTTGTCTTCTTTTATTTGGTTTATACTATGTACACATGACCGTCCTTATCGTTAACTATATTTCACTTCTTTTACGTTTCTTGGATGCCGTGTGTGAAATAGAAGATGCTTGTCTTTTTTTTTCTTTTTAAACATCAGTAACCAGTTGTTCTTATCAAATGTATGCCTCTTATCTATTCCTTTGAAAACAATGCACGTTAACAGTGGGTGATATAAAAGCTTGGAGACTTGAGAGACAATTTTATTTTTCTTATTTACTACATATCTGAGGACGTCTAAAGTTCGAGAGATGAAATGTTGTAAGTAAATGAGTATTTTGCTGAATTGTCATAACCCTTTTCCTACTTTAAAAAGAAAGGTACCATACGAAACCTTTCGAAAGTTCCGATTTTGAAAACAAAATCGAAACTCTTTAGCGTGCTGAATAAACAGGGTCCCGTGAAGTTTCTTTTTTTCATCTAAAGAAAAGGGTTCTACAGTATGATTTTCCCACTAGACTCAATATCCCAGTAATACGCTCTAAAAAATTCGGTACATTACCGAACTCCAATGGTTTCGAAATTTTTTTGCCGAGCGATTTTAGGATCGGGAAAATAAAAATCGTTTCGTATCATTTCTACCGAGCTCTTTTAGGTTCAGCAGAACTGATATGGTTTCCTCTGTTTTTGCACCAAACCCTAAATGAGTTCGGCAGATGCATTTTTGGTTTCGTACATCATCAACTAAACCTCCCATAGTTCGGCACGTCATATACTAAGGATATGAGTGTGTATGTGGCTATGAGGTCAGTGCAGATACACCCACACCCTTCATGTAACATCATATGTTGGCCTAATATAATCGTTTGATGACAGTATTTTTGATAAAATAGTTTTTCCATTATACATGCCACACTATTATTTCTCAATAAGGTGTGCATGTGCAGTCTTTTCCGCATCGAAACTTATGCCTACACGCTGTTACATTATGTTTGACTACTCGTATTATTGTTTATCGATAAAATACTAGTGCTCATTTCAAAATAAAAGAGCAGTGGCCATTTTTTGAATAACTTTCGATGGGAACAAGATAGCGAGATGCGGTTCTCACTGTTCGAGAGCCAAAATCCAGACTCATCAGTACGTGCTATATCTGATTGGCTTGCAACGGACCAATCTGATATATTCGCCATGGACATGTTTTTCACGATATTGTAGAGCCTTCTATAAACTAGTATTGTGCTTTAATTAACCAGCTCGATAGAAAAAATTGTTCTCCATTGATCTACTCCAGGCTCGTCTTTCTAGCTGGTTCCAATCAAAAGCTATACAGAAGTTTCTGAGATCCTCGATTTCGACCACTTGATCTTGAATCATGTGGGAAGCCATGCTAGGAATAGTAATTCACCATGCTGAGTCGAATGGTGGTATTAGTTTTTCGATTTGAAATTATCCTGCAATATTTTTTAAAAATTTTCTAAAATGTATGCGTTCCGTGCAACGTATTATATGAGTCTACATTTTGAAAATTCCAACAAAACACTGCAAGATAATTTCAAATCCAAAAACTAACATCATCATTCGACTCAGCATGGTGAATTATCTTTCCCAGCATGGCGTCCCACGTAATTCAAGATCAAGTAGTCGAAATCGAGCGTCTCAGAAAATTCTGTATAGCTTTTGATTGGAACCAGCTAGAAAGACAAGCGTGGAGTAGATCAATGGAGAACAATTTTTTCTATCGAGCTGGTTAATTGAAACACAATATTAGTTAACAGACGGCTCTAGAATATCATGAAAAACATGTCCATGGTGAATAGATCTGATTGGTCCGTTGCAAGCCAATCAGATTTAGCACGTACTGATGCGTGTGGATTTTGGCTCTCGAACGGTGAGAATCGAACCTCGCTATCTTGTTCTCATCGAAAGTTATTCAAAAAATGATCACTGCTCTTCTATTTTGAAATGGACAATAGTAACTAAATATCGTGTAATATAGACTTGTTGTAAATATATTTTGTGAAACTCATATATTTTAGGAGAAAATAGGGAGTTTAAATTTTAAGTCAAAGTTTTTCTGCTGTGAAAAAATAAGGTACTATACGAAACCAAAGATACTTTCGTGCACTCTAAGAGACTTAAAAATGGTTCGGTTCAAAGTATGACACTTAAAAAAGGTTTCAAAATTAGCAACGAAATCGAAACTGTTTTAATGTTCAATATGGAACCTTCAAAATCTTGAAAAAATATTCCTGAAGCTTTGGCAATTATTTTGAACATCTCTTGAGTTTTTATGGAACCTTTAAAAAGATTTCAATTTCATTGTAAAAATGGTTTCATACGGTACCATACTGTTTTTCTGAGTGCTCTCCTCTCTCTCCCTATTACAGACCATAGCAACTAGTATTATGCGCGGTTAGGTTTCTTAGCTTATATACAGTATGCGAGCTCCATATTTCAGCCCCAAAGGACGGCACTAACACAATTTTTATAAAATAAATTGAAAAAAAATGCTAAAACAACTTGACTCGCCTAGCCTTGATTATGATTAGATCAACGTCAATAGAATTCATTATGCAGCAGAATTAAAACCTTCTTCAGAATTTTCTCATATAATTTTTTTTAGTTTTTATGCTTTCTCTTCAACTCATCGATAGGATATGCCTGACTTGTTTGCTTGACAGAAGAATTCTTTTCTTTCTACTCATAGAATTTCTTTTCTTTTCATGAGATGATATTCATTAATATTGATTGACTGAGCTCATTCGATTACTTGTTTCAGTCAATAATAATAAAAATAAATGTTCAAATTCTCCTAGTTCGATTAGATTTACGTTCTTTCTATCATACTTTTCTAGACGTCCGAACTAGTGTATCAGTGTGGATGAGTACCATTCTAGAAAAATCAAATATGCACATCAACACCTTCGACATTCAATATATTATAGATATATTTTATTGTTTTAGTGATAATCATAACCGTTTAAAACCTTTAATATGTTGGCACTCAATGATAACAAACCTATTTGGGTAAGAGATGATGAACATGGATTTCTTCTTGGTAAAATAATCGATATTGGTTCAGATAATGTTACCGTTAAATTAAATGAGAATAGAAAGGTTTGAAGAAAAAAAACAAGGCTTAAAAGAAAAAAATCTACTTCTTTTCTCTTTATAGACATTAGTTGCACCATATGATTCGGTATTTCAAGCAGAAGAATACGATAAAGATGTGGATGATAATTGTTTGTATTTATTTTATTGAAATTTTTAAATTAATTATTTTATTCCATTGAAAAAAGGTGCATTTATGTTTCCTAATGAAGCAACACTATTAAATAATGTTCGTCGCCGTTATAAAAAAGATTTAATTTATGTATGAAAACTAAACAGTA